AAATATTCATTTTCTTATTACTGCGTTTAGCGTCTTAGACAAGAAAGTAAGGTCTCTAGCTTATGTGAACAGAGCTTTGGTGTGCCATGTTTTATGCCACTCGCTTGCCTCTCATCTAGATCTAACATGTTTGTCGGCCGGCGGGGAAGTACCCATGGGATTATTCCGGTAGGCGAACCAATGGATATCGCGACGCGTCACTTCTTACTGAGGCAATAAATCAAGAAGACTGTCGGTGTACATCTGCAGTCCGGAACTCCGTTGCTCCCAAAGCCGCTTGATACGTTCCTCGCATATCTGGATTCACTTTCAGATACCTACCCCTCACTGACTGCCTTCCTAGTCCTTGTCGGAATTTAACATCACTTGACAATCTTGATGGTCTACTGTCGAGTTCGATGGCCAACCCCGCAATGTGACGACCTCACGTGGGCTTCTTGAGCCAAGGGAAGGACAATCTCCTGCCTTTGGGTAAGAGTGCAGCTATTTTATAGTACCTGAGCTTTAAATTGAGAAGAGTGGTTGCAACCCTTCGCTTGTTGGTTCCAGCCTCGGCAAGTACGTTGTACATGTTCTGCTGCGTATTCGCTTGAGCAGGAGGAGGTGGCTTCCTTATCGAGCTGGCGATGGGTGGCTGTGGAGTAGAGTCGCTTGCGAAGTGGGCACGGGGATGGTGGAAAGCGGAAGGATGGATGGCACTTCCCCAAGATCTCAGCTCCCATGCTCATGCCCTTGTGAGTACAGCCGTGCATCTGTCTGTCTCACTCGACGACTTGGCTATTGGCCCTGCTGAAGAGACTGGGCTTGATCTGTGATTGACCTGTATATCAGCAGATAGTCGCTTACCGATACTCACAACCACACCGCCTGCAAATTTCTACTTGATCCCTACCAACTGGGACGTCCCCCAAGCATCAAATGTTGGAGAACCAGCACTTGCGTAAATGTCTCAACTAAACCCTCAGCAGCCAAGTTGTGAAGACTCGAATTCAACCACAGAATTGGGGAAATACGCTTGAAGTGTTTTAATATGCTGTGACGAGCCATCGTATGGACCTGACCCCTCTGTGTTTGGTCAAGACTGGAATGATCCCTACGAGCCCGGCTAGATCCCTGCTGGTAAGAAAACAAACGCCACGTGCTCCCTATTTTGAGAAGCTACATGGATAGGACCACATGATGCCTAGGCTTTAACTGAAAGAATTGAAGCAATCATGAAGATGGTTTCTTTTGAATGTGAGCCCTCTTAGAATGATGGCCCTACTGAACAGTACCTAATCTGGCACACTAAGAAATGGGTGGGGTACCGCTGAGGAAGGCTCTATCACGAAGTTGAAGGAATCGTCTCTTCCGAGAAAACAAGGTAAGTTGGATAATACTAAACGCTATAAGAACGAGATAGTAAAATATCCTTCGAGATTTAGCTTGGTATTATGTTTCTTACTAGGCTAATTGATTGTGTCGATTGAAATTCACGCTTTGGGGTGCCACGTTCTATCACCCATCCATCACCACTTGCTATTGAAGTCAGTGCTGGCAATATCCATGCAAGCAGACAGCGAAGTCCGCGGTGTGGAACCAGCGAACGGTAGATTGATCCGTTGGACAAGTGATTGGCCAGGCCCTGGTCGTCTCTGGGCGTCTTTTATCCTGTTTAGGCGTCCTTTGACGCTTCCCCCTGCGGCACCATCCTGGCAGACGGGCTGAATTAAAGATCCGAACAGGACGCATACGTAGCAATGCTTGTACATTCGTGCTCGTGTGCGGAATTGGCAATTTGTAGCCGCTTCTTCCAGACCTGGACGCACCGGACGCTTGGCACGACCTGAATACCCTGATTAAGGCTGGGAGTGAGGGGATTACTCGTCATCGTCACCCGGTTGCCGTCCCCGGCGCTAGAGTGATGCCTGGAGATGGCTCCAGTTGCCATCATCACTGGTGGGCGATGTGTGTGACATGGATGGATGGATCTATGCAGTCTAGAGGTGTCAGTGACGGAGTCCGTTGCGGCAAAAGAGCCACTATGGTCGAAAGCACCCCGGATTCTATTGCCCAACTGACTCACGCACGCCAAACCTACCGCCAATTGGTGTGTGCTTTCTTTTTGCCCTGTTTCGAATAATGCTGAGATGAATGGAGTCCCAGCCCAGCAAGGTTTCTGAGTCCGTTCCTGTGGTTCCGACTTCTGTTGCGAGGCTGCTTACTCTGCACAGTCCAAGGTACCGCATAAGCTTATCTCCCTTGCTACCTATTGTCCTCCTGGGAGCTCTTTGCTTCTCTCGTTTCTCCCTTTTTCATTCTCTCCGGCCTTGCCGACCCAACTGGCAATCGTTCTTTTCTTCCCCCTTCCAATATCCTGTACCTCGTCCTGAACCACCGTCGCACTGTGCCACCGCAGTTGGCCAAGTTCCTGGGTCTTCCTCTGCGCTCTCGTTTGGGACCGAACCCCCTTGTTCACAACACCCAGCCGCGGCTCGTGATACGTAATTATCCCCCTTCTGCTGCCCTTTTCGGGCCCCTGCTGCGCCCCTCCCTCCCGCCTCGATTTGGAAGCATCTCCATCTCACGCCCCCAACGACACATATTTGTCCACCTCTCGCCCTTCGCCCCGAGTCGCCTTGCCTCGCCAACTTCCCCTACCCAGACTCCCGACCATCAGGACAACTCGGGCTGGCCATGGATGGAACGGGCATGCGACTTCTCCTCCAAGGGAGGAGGTCATTGACGATCGGCCAGAACAACCTCGTCTTCTACGGTACGACCCCGATAATTGATACTTCCCCCTCAACGCGACAGATTGAGAGCACACCAATCGTCCCGTCGGGATTGATGGGGGGAATCGCCCACGATTGAACTAGTGATGGGAGAATTGCATGCTGACTTTTTTCCGCTCTGTAGACCCTACGCAGAAAAATGCCACACGAAATGCCTGCTGCATGCCCGGTTCTGTTGGTACGTTGGATTTCTCCTTCCGAACATCGGCTTTTCCAGCTCGACCGGTCGCGCTAACCTATGTCTCTAGAAAAGGCAGAACAAGCCATCCCGCTGTACAACGTCTTGTGGGCTGAACTCTCCAGCGATACCGTTACCGTCGACTACGTCCTCATCCCTCCCAAGGGCCCTGTAAGGCTCCAGAAGCTGTCCTACGCCCTTGCCCCGTCCGATACGAATCCCAACGAACCCGACGCCGAGAAGTTTGTCGCGACCGTTCTAGAACGAGCCTATGGCGAAGTGAGGCACCACCGACGAGCCTACGTGCTCATCAACCCAAACTCGGGCCCTGGCGGCGCTGTGAAGAAGTGGGAGACCGAGGCGAAGCCGCTGCTCCAGGCTGCGCATTTCGATCTGGATGTCGTGACGTTGACGCGGGGCGGGGAGGCCACAGACCTCGTGGAGAAGATGGACATCGACCGGTACGATACCGTCATGGCCTGCTCGGGAGACGGGACGCCCCACGAGATCATCAACGGTCTGGCCAAGAGACCCGATGCAGGAGTGGCGTTGAGCAAGGTCGCGGTCAGCCACATTCCGTGTGGCTCGGGTAATGCTATGGCACTCAACCTCTACGGGTCGAACCGTGTTGGGGTTGTTGCTTTGGCGATTGTCAAAGGAGTGACGAGTCCGATGGACTTGGTGTCTGTTACCCAGGGACCACGGCGGACGCTCTCCTTCCTGTCGCAGTCGCTGGGTATGGTGGCCGAGACGGACCTGGGCACGGAGCACATGCGGTGGATGGGCAGCACGAGATTCGAGGTTGGAGTCCTTCAACGCATCTTCCAGAAGACATCCTACCCATGCGATCTCGCTGTCAAGGTCGAAGTTGAAGGGAAGGACGCCATCAAGTCGTACTACAAGAGGAAGATGAAGGATATCTCGGATACCTCTTCGGAGTTGACCCGAACTACCGAGGTGGGAGACATTGGCCTGCCCGAGTTGAAGTACGGAACAGTTGAGGACAAGCTGCCCGAGGACTGGGAGCTGGTTAGCCACGACAACATCTCCAATGTCTATTGCGGTAACGTAAGTTTGCCTATCAATCCCCGAAACTTCAAATCTACCGTTCTTGAACCAGACTAACATCACTTTTAGATGCAATTCATGTCCCCCGGCGCCAACTTTTTCCCTGCTGCACTTCCTGCCGACGGCTGCATGGATCTGATCACAATCCCCAGCGATATCTCGTGGTACACAGGAATCCAGACCTTCCTTTCAGTGGAGTCTGGCGGCTTCTTCGACTCGCCTCACGTGAACTACCGCAAGATCTCAGGGTTCCGCGTCACCCCCCGCGACCAAGAGGACGGATACATCAGCATCGACGGCGAGAAGGTGCCGTTTGAGCCCTTCCAGGCCGAGATCCACCAGGGGCTGGGGAGAGTGATCGCCAAGAGGCCAGGAGGGTATGAAGCACCTGGGCCTCGGGGCTGGGAGACTGTCGACGACAAATGAGGGAGAGAATCGGGCAATATTCTGCGCACCCTGGGTCCGACCACGACACTCGCTGCATAAACAAGTATCTCCCAGGCCGCAGATACCACGCCACGGCTGCCAGAAGAAAGAGGAGGAATTAAGCGGAACTAGGTATTAGAATCCTAGATGGAAACGAAAAAGATACCCCCTCGCGAAGGACGAGGACTAGATTGTGGCAAAGAGGGAAACGTATGTTATATTAAGAGATATTATTTTGCAATTTATGGTGTACAGGAGGATGGATTTATCTAGACGATGGAAATTCATATCAGTGGAAACCCCTCTAAAATCTCATGATTCTAGTCTCAAAATTTAGTTGTCGTACTTTGAACTGGTTGGATCTTCCCCTGTAAATGAAATCAGGAAGGGGCGGGGCAGATCGTTACCCCGCCAAAGATTTTAATATCAAGCCATGTAAGCGCACTTCCTGGTCTCAACCAGTTCAGAGCCATTGGTACAATCTGAGACTACACTGTAACATACCACCAACTTTCCCCGACCTCATCATCGCCCTTGCACCACAGACACACACAATGCCACCCAAGGGGAGAAGAGGACCGTCCGGTCCCTGGGGCAGACTCAAGCCCGTAGTGCAAGACCCCCTAGAGAGCATAGGGCTGCCCTCAAAAGGCGACAACCGGCTGCTCGAGTTCAGCACGCAGGAGAAGTACTACACCAAGATCATGGAGCGGTACATGGGGTTCTGCTCAGATGCGGGCAAGCCGGACGAGCTGCTACGGAGGTTCTCCGCCCTCGAGATCGGCGAGAGCGCCGGACCGTCTGCCTCGCCTACCTCAACGGCCTCCACTGCTTCATCAGGAGCGCCGCCGACACCTTCACTCAGCCTGTTGCAGAGCCCGGCGAACACAAAGGGCCTGTCGGACGTCATGATGGCGCTGCGGAAGCTAAGGGAAGGCATCGTGGCGTCGAAGCGCGTCGACGACTTCGCCGTGCAGGCCTACCTCTTCTGCGTCCGCCTCTCCGTCCTGGTCAAGCACCCGGAATCCTACCACCCGGCCATCCTGTACCTACTGAGCACTCTGCACCCGCAGCAGCCCCTCACCTCGGTCGAGCTACAGGAGGTGGTGGCGTACCTGGTCCTGGACGCCGCGTGCCGGAGGGGCCAGATGTCGGAGGCGTACTCGATCCGGCGCGAGTACGGGCTGCGGGACCCCAAGGTCGACGCGGTGCTGGACGCGCTGGCGCACGACAACTACGTGCGCTTCCGGAGGCTGAAGCAGAGCGCGGACGGGCACAGGGCGCGCATCATGGACTGGGCGGAGGGGGAGGTGCGGATGCAGACGCTCAAGGCGGTCGGGAGGGCGTACCTCTCGGTGGACCTCGGGTTCCTGGAGAGCGTGACGGGTGCGAAGTGGGATGATCTGAAGGGTAATGACGGCGTGGGCTGGGAGCTGGAGGGGAGCAAGGTGGTCATCAAGAAGGTCAGGGCCAGGTAATGAACTCGAAGCTGGTGCTGGCATATCAGAAGTTCTTCTTTACGGCCTTGTCTGTCTGTTGAGAGGCGCTTACAATCGGCGTCGTTATCTTACCATCTGTTTGCGACGGTAGTACTCACACTGTCGTGGCAACGAAGCTGGCTTCCTTCCGTGTTTCCCTCACCTACGGCGAATCAGAGCGCATGCAGTGCAGGTTAGGCTCTAAACCTCGCGACCAGCGCCTCGTCGGTCGGAACAGCGCGGTGTTTCTGGGCGGCGAAAAGTTGCTCCAGTTACCAGAGGTACTCGGTCACTCCTTCTTCACCTGCCCCGAAATCAACAACGGACTCGACGATGAGTCGCGATTCCTCCACTTCCCCTCACCTTCAAGGAGCTAAACACCAGACTTGTTCCCTTCAAGCACATCCCCTCCTCCACCCTTCTGAACCTATACATCACATAGGCTTTGTCTCGCCCGGCGCGCAAGACATATGCGGTTAATTCATACCAGGGAATGAACGAACGACCCAGGAAGCCGTCAATCACTTCTGGCTCTTATGTACGTCAATGGGAAGCCGATTTCTTCTGGCTGTTTATTCACGTCTCAGAGAAACCCAACGCCTCAGAGAAGCCGATTTGAGGACCCCTTCGACTCTTGGATCTGAGATGGCGCCCTCAAAGAAGCGGCCAAGGGCATTACAGAGTGACGGCAAACCGATCCCGTCTGCGTTGCTATGCGATAGTCGCGTCGGTTGGTTAGTAAAGTGAGTCCACCTTTGCGTGCGTGCTTGTTCCTCGCGGATTGACACTACAAAGTTTCACGTGCTGACCAGTTTGTTTCTTTCCCGCCGTGTAGGAGCGACGAGCAAACAATTGAAATCATAGTCAAGGGAGAAGTCCTCATAGCCCATCGCAGGGTCCTCGTAGAACACTGTGAATACTTTGCCCGATGCCTCAAGGAACCTTGGGTCGAGGGCCACAACGGATCCATCACGTTTGACGACATTGAGCCGCGGTACTTGGCCCTCTTCATCGGCGTCGCATACAGCCATAGCTCCATCGTACCTCTAGCACCTCCAGTCAGCAGCCCGAACCCGCAGGCTAAGCGCGCCCGGACGCCGCTGCAGGACTTTATCGAGGTCTACAAGCTCTGCGACCGCTTCGTGAGCCCAAAGATGGCCGACTACATTGTCAAGTGTATCCACACGTCGATTGGCGACGGCCACCGCGCGCTGTACCGGTGCCCGAGCGACGAGGGGCAGCAGAAGGATCTGATACGAGAGTTTGCGGATGGGTTCGAGGCACTGGAGATGATGCACCCGGTCCAGAAGGAGATTGGGAAGAAGATGATTCACTACTTTTGCGAGGGCGTCAGCTATAACATCTGGGACAAGGCCATGGAGGATGTGGTCTCGGACAGGCCGCGGTTCATCAGCGACGTGTCGAGAGGGTTTGCATCAAAGCTGGGAACTATGGAGGCAACGAAACGTGCGATGAGGCGGAAGGAGCTCACGGGCCCATGAAAGCTGAACTGAGGCAGGGACATCTACTTGCTCATTTCGAAGCTTTGGAAGGTCAGTGGAGGACGAGGGGATACGACGAATAAAGAGAGAAAGAAGAGCAGCAAGCTAGGAGCCATGTGGTGATGATGTATTGGGAATATCGGCGCTATGGGGATGGGAGTATTTGGGCTGAGTTTACGATCAGGTTGGTCTGAATTATGGAGCAAGGACCTCCAGTTAACGCGGGAATGGATGGCGATATTGCGCAATGAAATGGGAAGAAAGAGGATCACGATATAAAAAGCGTACGTATTTCTTTTTGATCGAACTGAGAACAAGATTGCTATCAAGGGAGCTAATTCTAGAATGATGAGATTTGGTACTAATGAATGAGATAACACTGCCGTGCATCATTTGCCTTATTGATTGGAACCACAGACAATCAATTCAAGGGCTATAATAGCCTTACACTGCCTTGTGGGCGGCTACAAAGTTGGCGCCATGTTCATAACTGCTGCTCCTTGCCTAACACAGCTTGCCCGATGGCCATCTTGGCGGGGGCGGCATTACAGATTAGGAACCGCCCGGGTCAACCCCAGAGGAGATCTAGCTTGTGAAGATGGCAATTAAGCAGGGAGAATATAGTCATTAGGTAAAGGAATAGATAGCCAAGGCATCTGGTCTGCAAATCTGGGGACTTTTCGTGCGGTTGGCCCCAAAACCTTATCACTGGGCCATCTGGCTGGTGGTCCGTTTAAGCCCCCGAGGCCCCCGGAATTTATGGGGATGGTGACACGCCAGGCGGTGCTAAAATGGATTAAGCAGGTGGCCGAGCGCTAGATTTATGGGGAGGCAGAGCCTGAACAATGGGGAATACGGCCTCCTACAGGGGGTAGGGCTTGGGATCTGCCCTGTAAGCATAAACTAAACTTACCGTCCTCTCAAATGCGGGCGTATGTAACGATATCGAGAGGTTAAGTTTACCTCGGCCATCGTCGCCGGATTAGCAGCACTGGCCGACCGGCTCCTTGTTGCGGAAGGTATCTGGAAGCTGACCAGAAGACGAATCCTGCTGATGATAAGGGTTTTAGGCAGGCAAATACGTTCATCTTAGTTTTATGCGGCCTGCTTATCTGTCTGACAAAGTGTGGAGGTATTCTGGCAAGTCTGGTAACGGCCGGAGCGAGGCGCAGACCCCTTCACACCCAGTTTCAACCTTGGCCCTTGGCGCCTATAACGGATTGGGGCGAGGGAGAACCAAAATCCCTTCTGGCCTTCTGGAGTGGGTTGCATTGCCTCATTTCCGGAGAAGCAAAAGTGCTGGGACCCCATTCTCACCCCATGTGTCTATTGGACCTGTAAGCCAATGTGCTTCTGCGTGCTGCTCGCCAAGGCAGGCGATGTGATGTCAAGCTGATCGGGGTGTGGCTCCATTTCGCTGGAAGCGATATCTAGAAGTCTTCCATCACCTGCCCTGGTGAATGTACATAGCAATGCGGTGCTACCCGTTGGTTGGCATGGGAGAGAGAGTAGCCAATAGCTTCGGTTCCTTTTCTCGACCGGGACACACCATCCTGCAGGGAATCTGCAAGCGGGCTCAATGTGCAGGGAGTGTGTGGTCTGCTAGAACAGCTGCGGCGGCGTCCTCGGGGATTGATATTCGGCTGCCACATGCCCAACCAAGCTTCGCCTCTCGCCTCTCTAGTCCCGCCAAGTCACTCCAGAAGGATGTTGGAAGATTGGCAATCTAGGGCCTTGGCATTCGCCCATCTGCGTGGTCCTTTGTCCTGCCTGATTGTAGGAGGCCTACCGCCATGACATGACTGTGCCACGCGACTTGTACGGGGTAGTCGAGCTGCATTGCCTCCAATTAGAGTTGGCAGATAATGCTAGATACCAGAGAGATGTACCCTTGACGTTAATAAGTCGCCCCCGGGAGGCCTGATAGGTAGAGCTGGACCGATTGGGGGAATGAAACGCCCACCCAGCTGGGGGGCCCCAAAAGAGAGAGGGATGGGATGGGGATGCCTTTATCGGGCATCTGGTGAGCTGGGCGGCGCACCGAGCTGGCAATCAAAAGGATTGGCCCTCCCCTCGCTTCCATGCGCGTTGCTCAGCTCTTCCCATTCCCCCTTTCCTCTCCTCCTCCCACCTGTTCGTCGTTGAGTAAGCCTGTTGTTGTCGAGATACCCTCCCCCGAACCTAGAAACAAACCAAGCAAACAGCAACAATGCATTCCAAGTTCGCCCTCCCCGCCGCCGCCGCCCTAGTACAGGCGGCCTCAGCCCAGATCCTCTACGGCTCCGACGCAGGCTCGCTCTCCTCGGACACCTGGTCGTCCGTCATCGAGTCCGCCAACTACACCGACTCGCAGGCCGTCTCGGGCCGCGACCTCTCGGCAACGTACCCGGGCAGCGAGCAGGACGGCTGGAAGCTCAACTTCGCCATCAAGGACGGCGTCGCCGGCTCGGGCGAGACCAAGACCCCCGCGGGCGCCATCTCCCTGACGGGCCCCAGCAGCGACTTCGACGACAGCTGGCACCTCTGCCTGCACGTCTTCCCCGTCCGCTCCGCCAGCGCCGGCGGCGCCTGGTCGACCGACTTTGACGGCACCTGCTCGGGGTCCGTCGCGGGGGAGTGCCTCGACGACCTCAAGAAGAACGCCCTGTCCAACTTCGACAAGGACTGCAAGACGTGGTCGCTCTCGCCCAGCTGCCTGCGCGACATCCAGGATAACAGGCTCAACACTGCCGCCGTCTCCGTCACCGGTAAGTGAATTCTAAACAATGGCGTCGTCTCCCCCCTTTTTGGTGTGATGGGAAAAGCTAATGGGTGAAATAGCCGACAACCACCAGGACTTCATCGGCAACGAGACCTCCTTCTACCGCGAGGTCTTCGCCGACGAGATCCTCACCGCCGTCCTGGAGCCCCGCGCCGTCGTGAGCGTCTGGGGCCGCAGCGCCGACTCGGGCGAGGATCCCACCATCCAGATCACCTGCCTGCGCCCCGACACGGTCGCGTCCGGCAGCACGGATCCCGACGCGCCTGCTGAGGGCGCGGCCGCCGGCATCAAGGCGCTGGCCAGCTGGGCCGTCCTCACCGCCGCCGTCGCCTTCCAGCTGCTGTAAAGAGAGAAAAGAAGGAAGGCCATCGAGAGTGGAAAGATGTAAATAAAGGGGAAGGCAGGCTTTTTTAAAGTTGCTGGGGGAAGAGAGTGAATCTCGATTGCTGCACGCTACCTCCTACCTCATGTGGTAGATGTGGAGCAAGGCCCAGGTCATAATTTATGTAAATCCTTTGCGAGGCTGTAGGTCGATTTACGCGGCGGCGTGTTTTGGATCTTTTGGGAGATGGCGAAAGATTGCTGTTTCTTATTGCTACCTGTGTACATTTGAGGGAGGTATATCGTCGCATACATGGGCTCTGGCTACTAGGAAGTTCTTACTTGTGCTGCGTTCCAGAATATAACTATTAATTCCGATACGGCTTGCTTGTGTAACCCGAGAATGACAAGGCTGTGATCGATTGACGTGCTCGAAAGCATGTATTGTGTGAACCACATTTCGATAAAATAAGTAGATATCCAGAACAGTAATGTTTTCCATTCCCAACCCCCTTTGAAAAAATAAACAAATGAAAATTCACCAGACCCGTGCTGGCGGAGTCTCGACTCATCCACGGAACGCATTCCGAGGAAATGCACAATTCGAACATGTGGTATAATCAAACCAGAGGTATCCCCCAACGCCCAGCCCATATGCAATAATAAATCCGATCGGATGGATGCTTCAGTGTGCAGACTCCATCATGGTGCTTTTTTTTATCTCTTTTTTTTATTGTGTTCGTAAGCGCATCACTTCTTCTCGTAGAAGCGGATGGCGTTCTCCAGGTCCTCGAGGCTGTCGCGGCTGCCGTAGACCTCCATCAGGTTGTGCTGCCGGCGCCGCTCCTCGTTGTGCCGCTCGATGTCGTGGGCCGCGGCAATCGTCCTCCTCTCGCGGGCGTTGACGGCGTACGTTCGGACGCCGAGGCCTACTGCGACGAGGGCCGCTAGAGGCTTGAACCTAGGCAGGGTTAGAATAAGTAATCCAAAAAGTATTGAGAAAATATGCAGTGAATGGCTGGAAACGTGGGTAAAGACTCACCATCTGAAGGGCATCCGGCGACTGTGTGGTAGGTGAGGGAGGTAGCTGGGGTAGACCTTTGCTGCCGTGGAAAAGCGTCTTGCGGGAGTGAACATGGCTGCTGAGGGTCGCGGAGGAAGGAAAAGGGCGGCGTGTGGAGTATTTGTTTGGTGTTCTCGGTTGCTCGGTATAACTCCTCAAGCGAGATGACAAGCCGACGTAGTGTTGATTGAGGTGGTAGTAGCGGATAAAGCAGTAATGCCTATCTCGGCGGTCTATGTCGTGAATAGGTAGGTTTGGTGCTGCAGATGCGAATCTGTCCAGAGCTGGTGCTTTTATTTTGCTGCGATGATGCTAGGTACAAACGGAAATGATCTCTTCTTCTCTACTCCAAAGGGGGGGAGGGCGTCATAGTATATACACCAGCTTTATATTAATTCCCAGCCTAAGGTAGCTACCAGGTCCCCTACGAGAAGCGGTCATCCCACCCGCAAGAGCTTCTCTCCGCGTGCCGTGGGGAAACGCCCAGCGACAGACAAGTCCCCTGGCGTGTGGCGACCGGAGCTGCCCGGGTGCTGTCGGCTATGGAACTGGGGCGCCGCTGCTGGCCAACCGCAGGGCGCTGGCGGCACCCCAGAATAGTGGCATGACAAGGCGTCGCAGGTGATCAACTGTCCAGCTCACTATGACATACAAAGGGAGAGAGCCCTTTGGCCCGGTGCTCTGCAACGCTCAGGGACCTTTCCCGGCGGTGATTACCGAGGATTCGAAAAATTTCAGTGGTATTGCTGACCTGCAATGCCTCCCCGTACGAGATGTGGCCTGATGGTGCCTGCGCGCGTCCCAGAATCTGGTGATTTCACTGCGGCGGGTAACTTACCCCTGTCTTGGACCCCACATCACTGAGTTGCAGTGGTGGCCGATCTTGCGGGGAACGCCCAGCCCAGCGCCCAGTCATGAGTCGCCGCTGCACTTTGGGCCTGGAACATCCACTGGCCATTTTACTTAGTATAACCGATGAGACCTGTGTTGGGTCGCAGGAGGTTGTGGTAAGCCTAGCCGACAGCCTCTCTCAGACAACTGCCATCCATCTCGCGACGGCTCTGCGCTCCCACTGCAACACAACCTGCCTCAGATCAGTGTGCGGGCTGGGGCTGCATCCTGTATTACATGGAGGTGGCATACGCACTTCCGGCAAGATCTCCCCCACCCCATCTCAAATGTGTAGAGCTGTGTAATCCCACAACGCCTGGTTGGCTTGTGCTGCCGTCAATCACTGTCTGAGCCGAGGATATCCCCCACCACCCCTTACCGGTTTTCGTAACTCTCCCCAGGTTATTACGTAGCACAAAGGTGTCAAATAGCCGGAAATCCAACAGTCCACGGACTTTGTTTTGCATGTTTAGTAAACAAAATAAATGCATCTCTAGATTAGATCCTACATAAAAAATGACTGATAGCGTGCCGGATTATCATATTTGGATGGACGACGGCGGGCCAACTTCTTTGGTTTGCGAACGTAATTTGGATCTCGCGGCGAAACCACAACCGCAAGAGCCGGCCTCCGTACATAGTTTTGGGGCGTGCCCGAGAAGCCCAGCATCACGGCCCGACCAACTCCCTGCAACACCTTCTCTGAGCGTCTGCCGCCCCGCGGCGCCTCCATCCCATCGTTACCCTGCAGGAAGCGAGGGTAGCGTGTCATCCACTCCTCCCAGACCAGATTGATTGACAGCCGGCTGTGCCTCTGCCTCTTGAAGACGTCGAACTCCGTCATGCACCACCAGTTGAGAAGCACCGCGCAGATCAGATCGGCAGCCCCCGCAGAGCCACCGAACCTCCATCTGCACCCTCTCTGCAACCCATACCGCCGCCAGGACTCGGCGACGACGCAAAACTGCAGCAGATAATCCTCCAAAACCCACGTCTTGGGCCTCCCCGCATAGGGATGCTTGAAGCACTGGTGCACATCCCACGTCTTGACCTCCTCAGTCGGCGTCGGCTTCTTCTCTCTTGCCCCCCACTGTCTGCCCCCGCTCCTCAGGTATGCCAAATCCCCCAGATACCATCCTGGAGCATACTTCTCCTTCTTGACTTTGGTGATTCTGTCCACTTTCACCTCTCCAATCACGGGCGCCCGGACTATGCGCACCACCGTCGGCAGCAAGCCGACCAGCTTGGCTGTCATGGCTGCCGGCGAGACCTGGTCAACTGATACCCGACACGCCTTGTGGAATTCCCAGAAGGCACCCCGGATTGGCGGTGATTGGACGAATGAGTTGACATCATCCCAGGTCACGGCCTTTCCTCTTACAATGTTCCCTCCCGCATGACGCTCCACTTGACGGAGGGTTTTCACCATCAAGTCGATGAAGATTTCTTCCCGCCAGTCGGCGTACGGCTTGAGATTGTACATGATCACCCTGTCGTAGAACATGCATCGACCACATTTGCCAGTGGCGCCGCACGTTATCCATCGCTCGGGCGGGCGGCCGTCACCGATTTGCCGTTGGTAGACACGTTCGTAGTCAAGGTAGCGGTTTCGTATGGTTCGTAGGGCCTGTTTAGAGGTAATGGGGATTGGGTGTTGTTGTCTATGAGTGATGGTGAGGTCGTGCCGAGAGAGCGCGAGATACCTTTTCAGGGTGTCTCTTGGGGTTTTAGCACGGGTTGCCCGAGATTTGGACGCATCAGAAAGAACAGGTGGTCTTGCTTGGGATCTCCGACGTGCATCACCGCCAAACGGTGCCATCTGGGTGTTTGTTGGCATGCGGTCTGGAACTTGGTTGTGGTTGTATCCCGCCAAGGGGATCCCACATGCCGTCCCCAGGAAAAGGGGTTTTCCAAAGCACAACGACATATTAAGCCCTTAGTCTGTGTTACTCTGTCATAGTGCCGCCGCCTCATAAATGAGGCCTCTATTTCTCTTGGGCCTGGATGGACTCGATGCGGACTCGAAGGGGTCGCCCCTTTTAAACTGTTTGCTGTGACAAAGCCTGGTGTTGGGCGAACTACAAATACACGGACAACGCCCGATACAAAACCAGGTGGGAGATGTAAGAAAGAAAGGCAGAGATGAAGAAGGAATGTTACCATAGAAACTTCCGGCAGTTCTTGCTGCCGCAAAGACACTCTGACATGTTATCAACGTTCAGTGAGGTTTCTTCGTTGTCCTCCGCAACTCCATCCACATAGTCGAAAGTTAGCTCTTCACCCCGGGCAATGTCGCGGATTGCGAACAAAGCCAGGTCGTGGAGGTGTTTGTCCGCATGGTCGCCAACCCTCGCAAAGATCCGCATATTAGGGTCACATGAATGGTTAATGAAACGAGTAGGGCCAGACATGAACTCCCCATCCACCTCTAGCGGGGGACCTTGGAGACGGGGATCCAGAGAGTCCTCATCCGTGAATTTGTCTAGTGCAAACAAATAAACGTCCTTCCTTTGTGAAATGGCAGATTGTTCACGGCGGCGATCCGCTTCAGCGGAAGTGATAACTTCCCCAAGATAGCAGTCAACAAATTGACCTTCTTTAATTTCTTCGAGACAGCGGACACCTGTAGGACAATCGAATCGTTAGCCTTCCGGCGACCCCGAGCATTTAAGTAAGCCAGAATCTGAGATGAATCAAGACATGGGTGGGGAGAAAAAAAGACAAAGATGCAACATACCCCAGCCACGGTTGATTGTCCGGAAAATCTGCAGTGGGACTGTTCGTCCTCTTTCCACAACGCGATTTGGACAAAGGGCAGAACATGAACAGGCCTGGTGGCACTCGTACAACGGCTGAGTCGAGTCGATAACTCTTGAGCGAAGAAGGCCGGCCTTGGAGCCACCAGTGTGGTAAGCGTACGCCTTGACGTCCTCATCACCCTCTTCGAGATCGGCAAGACAATCGCAGGCGCTGTACTGGCATTTGGCGCCGTTATCCCCGCACGAACAGCCGCTCCGGAAACTATCCTCAGCAGCCTCGACGCCCTGGCCATAGACCATCTTGTCGATGAACCTGAAGTTTTCGGGCAGAACTTCATCGTCGACTTCATTCACCACGGTGATGGGGATCGTGGTGTGGGTCTTGAAGGCGCGGATCTGACACCAGTGACAGTCATGTTTCTCATCCTCGAAGCCCTGGCAAGCGGGATGTTAGGCGAGGGAATTCCGAAAATTTGTGATGTATGGCAATGAATCCATTCGACTTACCTCTTTTCCATGGTAGAAAAAATGTTGTCTTGTTGCTTCCTCCATGGGTTTATGACTGTTTGGTGATGGGCTACGGAGAGAGGAACGAGGAAGTAGGCGCGGCTGGAGAGACACGGGTTCTCTCAAAATCTTTTCTCTTGTCTTCTGGTTCTCGGGAGTATATAGCCCTGTGTGTCTTTGTCTGGCTTATGTTCTTGTTCTGATCAATAGAGATGTGATTGGATGGCAGGGAAGGTTGTGTGGTGACAGGTCTATTGTGAGGACTGTAGGTTAGGTGGGTAGAAAGGTTGCTACGGCAGTTGCCCCACTACTTGCTCAGTCTCCTAACATTTGCGCCTTCCATCAAAAAATGTTTGTATGCCTTGCTCAATTCAGCGGTTTTCGAAAATACACACGCTCGTATCCATCTTCAACCCTCCGGTCAACTTCATCAAATCCCATTTTCGCATACAGGCCAATGTTCTCCCACATCTTCACATTCGTATAGAGCTCCAGCGCAACCCGGCCCTTAGCGCGGGCGAAGTCCTCGGCGTAGTTCATCAGCAGCCTCCCGTAGCCTTTGCCCTGGGATGCAACGTCCACGACCAGGTTGTTGATGTCCACCGCATCAGAGTCCGGCCGTGCGAGCAGGACAATGGAGCCCTGGGCAGTGGGCGACCCCTCAGGCCGGAGCACGAAGATGTCGTGGGTGTTTAGTAATTTGCTGTAATCTGCCGTCATAGGTGCCGGCTCCTTGCCTATGCGTTCGATGTACTTGGTGTACGCACTTTGGACCATGGCTTTAATGGCGGGCACATCGTCACTCGTTGCCCGCTCGATCGTGGCAACGGCGCCATTGGCACCCTTAACTTGGGTCTTTGCTGCATCGGTTCCAGCCATCTTGTAGAAGCTCTTAAGATGATCTCTACGACATGCCCAAAAATGTCCCGGAATGCGCTTATTTGTAGTGATCACGGACAAGAGCCGAGTGACGGAGCCGGCTGCTTACTGACCAACCTATTTCCGATGTCCGGAATTTGGGACCAGCCGTTGCTGTCAGCGTTGCTCCAGTCCCGACTCCCGGCATCCTCTTACTGAGTCATGGAGCATGACTGGAGAATCAGACGGCATCGGTAGTTCATCATCACCGACGAGCTATCTTATCTAGGTAGGTAGTAAGGTAGGTTGGTGGGCGATTCGTTTCTCCCATGAACCCTTGAAAACCCACCCCGGTTCCGGCGTGATTGGCCAATTTTGACAACCTACCAGACGTTCATTTTTATTATAGTACACAATGCTCTTGTGCCCGATTGCTACTCTACGGTCCGTTCCTAAGTCGCTAACCCCTGTGTCTAGGCCTAGACGTAGCTAAACCTTGGAGTGCTTCTACATCAGGATCCATGGATGCCTTCTGACAATTGCGTCCCGCTTTGGAACCTAATATCAAGGCTTTTCTCCCTACCCACTCCCGCCTTTAGAGACGGATCCTCGCTGCTTTAAATTTTACTTTTTCCAGCTGCAAATATGAAGTTTAACAGGGTATAAACGATTGATAATAGTTCTGGGAGACAGGCAAAGGCCGAGCAAGGCAGGAAGAAGAGCGGGGTGATGACATAGACCAGCAAGCACATGCTCAAGATGCCTGTCCTACATTCTCCAAGTTGACCAAAACCCCAGTCCCAAGATGCCAAACCAGTGCCCAAACGCCTTCACCTTCAGCTTGCGACCGCCGTAGGTCCACACGATGAGGCCGTCCCCAAGCGCCACGAGGCAGAGCGCCTGCGACAGGACGGTCACAGCTTCATTCATGCCCTTGTACTGAAGCACGAGATACGTGATGCCGAAGCAGAGGTCCCGCACCCCCTTGGCATACAGCATGGGCGAGATCCCTTGCTGCCCAGGGAGCAGCTCGAGGGGCAAACCGAACGTCTCGTATGCGGTCTTGGGGAGGAACAGGCCGACCAGGCCCAGGCCCGTGAATGCGGTGCCAAGCGTGTAGCCCGGGATGGGGGAATAAGTCGCCATGACGGTATCTTTCTTGCGAATATATCGATCTTTCCCGCAATGTCGGAGGATGTGGATACGAATGTGGGCTTCTCTCTTAGCTAGTTGTCTTCTCGAAAGATGGAATTAGCATCGGAGACAGGGCGGGCATTTGACTGAGGGAAAATAAAACTGGGGTAGATGTTCATGACCTCAGGGATCAGCCTGCTTATCCCCAGCCAAGTACTACCCAACTCCCGTGCCTCTGACCAGCAGAGAAACCCCCGCGCTTGTATGTTCGCCACGGCAGCAGATCCTGTCAATTGCACATGGACCAACGGAGCTGGCGATGGGATCGTGAATTGTTTCTGCAATGGGCGCAGGGGTAAATTACAGACTGAGAACGGCCAGAGCCTAGCGGTGGAGCTATCCAGAGGCAGACGCCAGAGACCATTCATTGACGATCCAGTGCATGACGGAGCCATTGATGAGCTTAATCCATGTGCGAGAGGAGGGCACAAATCACAATGCAGCTTCGCCAAGCCGCGTGTCCTGGCCCAGCCAAAAGCTTCAACCACTGCCTCAGCCCAAAAGAATAGCAAAAGGCACAAAGCGGCGCCAGGCACTAGCCGCAATCCCTCTAACCTGAACCATCGCCTCCAGGAAGCAACCGGCGAACGAACGAGCGAACGAATTGCACCACATGTCTGCCGCCCCCATTGTCTGGCGCCTCCATACGTAACTTTGGCTCCCACCTTGCAGACCCCTGCAGGAAATCCGCTTGTGCCTCTCTGGTCCTGGCCATCCTTCCTAACTCACCTTTCCTTCACCTGCGTTGCGCTGCTGCATGTGCCTCCTCGTAATTGAGCCTGTGGAATCCCGTCACCCACAACAGCTCTCCCTCCCCTCTCCTCACCACGCCCTCCGTCGCTGCTTGCCCTTCTCGTAGCAGTAAGCAGCCAGCCCTCGTTTCGCTTTGGGTCACTTTTGCGCCTAACACAGTGCCGATCGACAGCATCAGCCTTGGTTTTCCAGAATCGTGTCTCGGCCAGAGTGACGGAACTATTAATACGCCTGATTACCCTGGATCAGGTCTGCTGGGGAGAGGAAAGAAAAAAGAAGGGAATCATAAGATTGTGTTTTGCCCTCGCGCACGCAGCCGGCCTCGAGCATATCAACGACCGTCCGAACACCAAGGCGACGGACAAAGCCATACCGAAGCGACAACTGGGAGAGACAGCATTGCGATGGCATGATCCACCCTACTGACGAACGCACCTCTTGTTGACCTCCCCGTTTCGCTGTGTTTGCCCTCGTCCGCCAAACAGACAGAGAGCCGTCGCTCTTAGGCACGCTCTCCCCTCCCCTCCACATTCGTTCAGTTCAATTGCCCGGCTTCGCGAGCCAGGCAAGATTCCGAGACAATGGTAAGTTGGGAGCCTGCTGTTCCACAAAAGCCAATTCGCCAAGCCAGCTGGTCAACCGTTATACCGCTTGCCCACCAGAAGCTAAACTTTCGTCATAGGGCTGCTGCATTTCCCGTTCCTCTGGGCCCAACTCGCCTTATCCCGGCGGCGACCCTGCTTCATCCTCCCGAGCCATCAACCCC